AGCAAACAGACTGACAGTGACGCTGAGCACCAATTTCTTGAACATTTACCACCAAAACAGTGTAAGTATCAGCATTAGAATATAGACTTTGCTTTATAGTTATAGCCTGTAGTATGAAACTGGGACACACTGCATGATTGGGGGATTCCAGTGGGTTGCTGGGTGGGAAAAACAAAGCAGTTGTTGATGTGAAAACAAGCAAATATGGGATGTAGCTTGAAGCAGTAGACGATGTTGTGCCCTGGAGTAAGAGAAAATGCCAAACCCACACGGGCCTTAATGAAAACCATAAAAATATTAAATGATTAAATGAATCAGCAGTGGAATGATGTCCTTGTTGGGAATAGAAGACAGAAAGTGGCATCATTGTACTCTGTACTCTGCTGATTACTTTCTTGATTGAACAATTAATTGTGTGGTGTATGATATGTCAGAAAATAGCAACAAATTACTCATTATACAATTTCCTAAAGTACAAAGTGAATTATCAGATTTCTTATTCTGACTGACACATAAAACACAGACAAGCAGCAAAATCTCATATTAGAGAACCAGTGGAACCAATGAATGACCTGAACGATCAATCGATTGTCAAAACAGTTGATTATTTTTCAGTGGATTAGTTCATCAATGAATTTGTCAATCCACAGAAAATGAATCAGCAACGATTTAAATAATCAATTCTGTTAATTTTCAAAGCAAAAAATGCCAAAAATTCTCTTCCAGCTTCTCAAATGTGAGAATTTGTGCCTTTTCTGTTTTTTTTCACCGTAAATATTTGGGTTTGTCAGAATAAAACATCACCTGACATTCAATAAACCTAATGATAAATTAAGAAAATAATAGGAAGATTAATCTATTGATAAAATAATCAGTAGCTGAAGGCTTAGACTAATCGATTAACTGACTAATTATTTCAACCCTATAATGTATTATTTGATAGTTTGAAAAAATTGGAACCGTAGAAGAAGTAAAATACTCCCTGTAACCCACAGGAGATTTTCCTACACCAGCAGCATCCATATGAATCAGACACACACTTCTCTGCTCCTCACTGATCTTCCTCTCTCTACATTACACTGATTTTATGTCTTTCAGTTTAGTATTAGTAGCTTGCATAACTGGGCGTCTTCTTCCCCTCTTTCTTCTCTCTCAGCTGCTTAGCGCCCAGTAGAGCAGTGGATGATGGGAGCTCCGACACGGCATGATCTAAAAACCCACTGGCGCTTTAGTGTGCCTCAGCTGGCTTATATAACCCCGTGTGGATGTGCAAACTGCATTGCTATTGGGAGAGCTGAGGACTCACGGAACAGACACACACACACAGAGGCTACTGATATGTGGTGTGTTTATATGGGTTTGTGTGTGTGTGTGTGTGTGTGCCTGTGCGTGTGCGCATGAGGACAGCAGAGCAGTGTGTGAGTGTTTGTGTGATGAAGCGGGGGTGCATGTTTAGGAGAATATAGTCAGATTTGTCTGTTTTCTGCTCAGCAACCACAGCACCAAATATCTCCCTCCTTTTCCCTACGCTGTCTGGTGACGTCACCGGTGTGTCCCCTTGATTTTGGACCGGCAAGCTCCCCACGTGATGTCACTTCCGCTGGGCCTTCACCTGAAATGACATCACTTCTGTTGCATAACTATCCCCCCTCTTCCTCGCCTGCATATGAGAGCAGAGGAAGCTTTTCTCCGTCTCTGGCCACCCAGAGGCGCCGTGAAACTCCTCATTATGGAAATACCAGGTGTGTGTCCATGAAATGGGAATGGGCAGGTTTAAAAATACATCACCAGGGTTTAATACAGAGACACTCACCAAGATGCTGTGTCCCCTATGACCTCTCCATGCACCCAGAAAAATCACTCTCACATGTTCAAACAGCGTCATGCTCTGAATCATCACGACCCTCTTTGTAGACAGAGACGTGACAATAGGTACTGTGCAACTCCTGACATGAAATATTACGGGTGTGAGGGTGAAGAGAGAGAAAGAGAGACAGCGATCGAGAGAGGCCTGACCTATATAAGAAGGAGGCTGAAATATTTATGGATGTGAGTGTCCTAATTGGCAAGCCACTGGGAGCACTGCGGCCTTCTCCTCCAATCACAGCCTGGGAAGAGGTTAACACACACTCACACACTCGCGCAGATGAGCGTCGGTGGTCCGAGGGCCAGAGCGTGGCCCCTGTCCCGTGCCCCTGTCATCCCCAGCCTGAGAGACGCCTCGTTATAAGACTGATCAGCCCTCGCTGAGGTGCCGGCATTGTTAGAATCATTACCAGAGCTGTTATCATAAGCGTTCTCCGTGGCACATACGGACGGGAACAACCGCTCAGAGCGCTAAGTCAAACACAACCTAATTGGCTGGGCTTAATCTCCAGCACTGGCACGCACTGCTCGGCTCTCCGAGAGGCCTCAATTACCGTCCCCGCTGATGGAGACAAGGAGACGGACACTTTCTGACTTCTAGTTTCAAACCAGTGCAGAGTGTGGGGGGGTGGGGGGTGTAACCACATTCCAGGGGCTCAAAACAGGGACTTGGGACATTGGTGTGTTTATGTGTTATGACAGTTACTCAATGCATATTACTTGCTGAGAAAAGTTGAGCCGTTCTGGGGCTTGGAACAATATTATTTTACTGATTAGTCGACAACAAAAGTAGTAGTAGTTACTTATTATATTAATTACTTATTAAATCCACTGTATTACTCAGCCCTTAAAGGATAGGTTCATAGTTTTTTAAGTCAGTCTTAAAACAACAGTCAGATGCCTCTAAGAACACTGAAACATTTATTTCTTTTCTTTTGTCCATTAAAAGATCCCTGCCTGATCAGCCTTTCAGTTGAAGCGAGTTTATCTGAAGCTAATATAAGGCTTCAGCACTCTGAGTAAGTCAAAGTAGAATTAAATAATATGTCTTTTAGTGTAAAATCTCATCATTGTGTTTCCCTGTTCCCCTGCCATGGATTGGAGTGGATGGAAGTAAAAAACAATGTAATTTTGGTGGATACTCACTTGATTTGTCTGACTCACATAAACTTTTTATCATCAGAGGAATGATTACAGCTAGAATAACTGTCGCATTGTTGGGCACCTTATTATTGTTTTAAGACAGACCTGAAAACCATCCTTTAAACACCTCACATGTCACATATGGTGTATTTAAAACACGTAGAAATAGAAAAAGAGACATTATGGTCCCTCCAGATGTCCACACACTCCAACTCTTAACAAACCAGGAATTCCCCAACTTACATTGAAGCAGCAGCTAACATCAGCATGTCAGCTAAGAACCCTCCAGCTAACTCCTGGCTAACCCCCAACACACACACACACACACACACACACACACACACACACACACAGTTGAAATATCAGAGCAGTATTGTGATTATAGCTGTGACGTAATGACTGACTTTCAGTCCCTCACACTAGGCTGCTTGTTACTGAACTGTAATGTGTTACTGCCCAGCACTGATTATAATGAAAAGTACCATTTGTATACTATATTTCCATAGTATATAGACTGTCAACAGGTACTGAATTCAAGCAGAAGTAATATTACTGTTCTACATGTGTCCATGGAAACTTTTCAGTATGGACATGATCCACAAACCAATATTTTTTCCAATGCAATGATCCAAAAAAGTTTCTTATCAAAGCTGTTTGAACAGATTGCCACAAGAGAAAAGATGTCCAAAGCAAAAAAGAAAATCCCACTAACTGGACCACAACAACAGAACTATAAGCTACATTTTAATTCTTGTCCCTCTTGTCCCCACGGACAGATTATGAGACAGTGGGCCCCTGGGCACAGACATTTAAAAAGCCCCCAACCCTCTGACAGAGCGAGAGCCACATATTCAAAGACACATGTTGTTTTGTTTATCTTTGTTGTCATCTTGCGTCTCTTTGTGGTGGTTTGCAGTTGCTTGACTTCCCAAAATGACATTAACTGTTCACTTCAAACCCCCGGACCATTTGGGCCCCTGTGCCTCTGTCCACCGGGCCTGTCCCGTCCCAGCCATGCCTCCAAATTAAAACTAAAGTGAAAAAATAAAAGTATATTCACTGATGACTCAAAATGTGCAAGTATGTGAAATAAAGATAATATTTGCAGTTATTCCCACCCCATGCCTGAGTACCATTATTTATATCCTGTATATTTCTGTGTTACTGTTTATTGCACAACAGTGGAGCAGAGCTGTAACCATAGAAACATTTTTAGCTTGCATCTGTTGCTACACTGTCACAGTGACCATAGAAACGGCTGTCTCCAGAATCAATTGGCTACACTATCCCACCAACAAAAATGAGGATTACCATTCATTGACCACTGATGAAAAGTCTGTGACCAAAACATATAAAATATTTGAAAATTGAGTGACAACATCTGTTTTTAGCACAAGATGTTGCTGTTTAACCAGGTGACTCGATGACTGTGGAGTGATACAAACAGGAGTCTAACTCACAAACAACAGGTCTAACACATTAACTGGCCAGTTAGAGGAGAGTATTGAGCTAACCATACTAACACTACATCATGAGCTCCAAGTCATTGTTGTGATTTTTAGGATTAGCAGGCAAATCAGTTCGACAAGCATCTCTGTCTTGCTTGCACAAAGGAAAAGAGAGCAGAAATCAATGGGCTGTGTTTACAGGGTACACAGCCGACTGTAACACTGCACGTTATGTTACACACAGCCAAGCAGTAAAAACAGACGAGCTGCTTGGCAGGGCTCAGCCTGGCCAGCCTCGTGCTAAAAGCAGACAGAGACAGCAGTGACACACGGGCCAAGAGCAGTTACTGGCACCGCGCTCCAGTCTGAGACGGAGCAAAAAGTGGGACACATTTCAAAAATATTCTGAGTAAATGTCAAGAGAACATGCGAAGGAAGGATTGGTGTGATTTTTCTTTGTGGTCACTTCTAAGTTGAAAAAAAAAAAAAGACCATCACAATCTAACGTGCACACATATTTTTCAATGTGCACTAGATACTCACGTAAGAAGTACTCAGATGGGTCCGCTTCATAATCTGTTTCCTCAGGAAAGTGGTCTATCTGTTTACACATCCCTTTGAAGTTTCCTGTTGGGAAAAACAGAGAAAGAGTTCAGTAGAGTTCATACAAGAAGAAACCAACCAGGCAAACTGCTGATCTGCAAACCTTTATTTTTTAGAGCTGACATGATTAGTTGATTAATCAGTTACTGCCTCTGTATGAATTGATTAACACAACAGACACAAAACAATGAAAATGACATGCAAAATGAGCACAAAAAGGCACAAAAACCCAGAGACGTAGTCGTCAATGGTTCCAGTTCCTCATTTTTCTGGTTTTGTTTGTCTTTTTTTAAATAAAAAGACAAAACAAAGACAAGTGTTTTTGGCTTTTGGACTTTTCGGACAAAACAAGTAATTTCAAGATGTCATTTTTTTGAAAAAATAATTAGTAGATTAATCAGTAATATAAAAAATATGTTTGATGCAGCTCTATATCTTTTAATAACTCACAAAACATATAAGACAGTTTGCAGTTTCATTCATTCTCAGCACAGATATCATTGGACCCTTTTCACTGGTCGTGGCTCTCACACAGACCAGAAGATGCTCTTCAGAAAGCGGACCCGAGCACCAGGCCTCTCCGGCAGCAGGTGGCGGCTTGTAAACAAGAGCAGTGCAGCTGGTGCGACCTGGAGCCGCTCCAACTGCTGTGCACAGGGAACCTCATCTCTTAATGCTTGTTCATTTGGCTGACACCTCGCTGTCCAGCTACTCTGTCCATCCAGGAAGCAGCAAGACGGCTTCCCTCCCACTTCCTCCTGTCTGCTCTCTTCTATCTGCAGCCCCTCAAAGGAGTTTTGGCATTGATGAGGTCACTCAAGGTCGCGTGGCGGGGGAGGCGCCCATAAGGCAGCCATTAAGGCGACCTGCTGCTGCAGTGAGCAGGCAGATGCCTGGGCGTTTGATTGGACCAGATTAGCGTTTCATTAACTTCTTCATCTCCTCTCCCTCCAGTGTCCCTCTAATTAGGTGAACAGGTGTTGGTTACCATGGTGCCAGGTGTTGCCTAGGAGGTCTTGGCAGCAAGGCATGATGGGCACAGCGGGGTGCGGTTATTAGTTTGTGAACGGCCCACATGCAGTGGAGAGAGAGGGACCCCCCGGTGATGACCACTCAGACATTAGAGACAGTGTCACCTCAAAAAAAAAAGAGCCATCAAAGCGTCCTCGGCCTGCTCTCCCACATGCGTACAGTGTTTGTGTTGGAGCTACCTGCCGGCTGGCAACCGCCGCCGTCTGTTAAGAGATTCAGCTCAGGATGGATGGATTTAGATCGGAGAATGTTTGTTTTGATCATCACTGGTCGAGTTTCCGTCCAAATGCAACACAAATTTGAACAGAATTAGTAAAAGTAGTAGTAAAAGAAAATGACAATTTAAGTGAGTGTCCATCCACTACTATTGAAAATTATTGGTTGGTTCATTTAAATAAACAGGTAGTGGCACCAATAATAAAGCCATTAAACCATTGCATAAGAAGGGGGCGCAACAAGATGATGCAAATCAAAAGACGCCAGTTAAAGCTCAAAAAAACAAAAATGATTTCTGTTCCATCACTTACCACAGATCTGACTTTTTTAGTTTTTTCTGTGAAAGCTTGAGTATTGTTTCATGTCCAGTATGTCATTGATTTATTCATGAAGTCTCTTTCTATTGCACTTATATTAATACATAATAATAGTTTATATTAATACAGCAACTTTTCCACCTGAGCCAAGTGTAAAAACAAATGTTTTTTATCTGTATATTGAAAATGTGCATAAAAACAGTTGCATTGAAACAGACGTCACGGGCTTCAATGCAGGAAACGATTCAGTGCAACTGTGGGACCTGAAAAACCCACTAATCCTCGGTGGAGAAAATCCAGTGCACCACTGCTCTCTCCCGCTGTCTCAGCTCTGGCCCATAATCAAAAAACACTTATCAATTTTCCTCAACAGGTTCTGTGGCAATTAGGACTAGAGACAGAGGGGGAGATAAAGAGAGAGAGAAGCAGGGAGAAAGAAAATGTAATGGGAACGGGAAGGGGAGATAAATATAGGAAGGGCAGGGAACAGAGAGGTTTTGAAGGACAGAGAGGGAAGATGGAGTGGGAGGTGGAATACATCAAGTTTGAGTGTCACAGTTTAGGCCTCAGTAATTGCTGAGCCATGAAAAAGCCCTCCAGAGTTTAACGGACCTGCACGGTTTTGAACTTGATGCTCTGATATATGACATGAAGTTCCTATTTCGGTGGAAGGCTGGAGATTAGGATTGAGTTTATTCCAATCAGCTGGAAGGTGATCTCTACAGGTAATCCTCAGAAGCTGTGCTGCAGAAGCTTCAGCATCGAGCTGTAGCACCTCAGCTTTTAGAAGTGAGCTGGTGCATACTGTAGGTGTAACCCCGCCGCCTCCTGCAACTACTCCCTCAGGCTGATGCTGGAAATAACAATATGCTCCTCTTCAACTTGCCCGCTCAAATAAGCTTTAAATAAGTTGCATTTCTACAAGAGGAGAAAAGGGGGGGGGGGGCACACACTCGTGCCTCCTCTCATCAGAAAGATGACTTGTGTTTACATACGACTACATTGCACGCTCCCAGTGGAGCTGTCTGAGCAAACTAGCAGCAGCAGCAGCAGCAACCCACAGAGCACCATGTGTGTGTCTTAACAACGTTATCAAGTGGGTGTAAGATTTGGTTTTGCAGCTGGCCGTCCCATCCGCAGTTGTGCGATTTGTAATAGCAGCTGTGGAGAGTGGCCTATTGGGGGAACCACTTCAATTAGCCTGCTGAAAGATTTATGTGACACTTAACCGCTCCAAACGGTCCTTTTCTTGTAAGACATGTAAACTCAGCAGGCTGGTAAATGGTTTGTAATGGCATTTTCATTTCAGAGACCTCCCCACGTGAGTGTGAACGCAGGGCCGGCGCGTAGAGAGACCTGTTTGGCCATTAAGAACTTTGGCAGGGGGACCGCCGTTGGATGGAGAGGTGTTACCAGAGGCTCAGGTGTGTAGCGGGTCAGAACACTTATCGCTCAAAGAGAAACACCTGTATTCACTGAGCAGCACTTGCACTTACAGCACAGTACGCTGGATTACTAAAGAGCTCTGTGTTTAAAGCCACAAGAAAAACTGGGTCTTGATTTTGCTGTTTTACATTTATCTGACTGGAACAGGATGAACGAGCGAGAGATAAGGCACAGAGAGACTTTTAAAATAGTTTTTAAGATCGCAAATGTTTTGTTAAATATTAATAAATTACAGCCACTAAACTTAGGATGCAGGATTTTTAGGGGTGAACACTGAAACACAAGACTCATGCAGTGTCTCAAAACCATGCTTCATACTGATTCTAAGCAGTTCACACTAGAAAAGTGACAAAATGAAGTATGCTCAAAGCAGACTCCGTGCCTACTAAATACTGCTGATTTTTGAGTTTGCTGTTGATGAGCACTGTTCTCGCTCAGGAGGAGGAGCTGCTCACACCTGAAAAAATGTAAATAAAGTGTGGGTGGCTCCAAAAAATGGTGGAAAACAATAAATAGGTATTATATCTAAGAAAAACCTCATGATGTCTCCTTGAAGTTTAATTAGCAGTAGATTTCCAAAGTTGCAGTTTGACTAACTGCAGGACTGTGATGATTAGTATGCAGAATTATGCTGCATTCAATTAAAATTAAAACCACGGATTTCTTTAGGTTTGATAATTCTTGGAAACGTGGGATAATGTAAGTGCTCAACTCAAATAAATATATAACAGATCTTGTCGTTTTTAGACATTTTAATGCAGGAAAGTGACATATTATACCTTTTATCAGACAACTTTGCTGGCACTTCACAAAAATCCTACTTTCCCTGTCGTAATTACAACTTGGATGTTGACAAGAATGATATTTACAAGTGGGAAACTGGTAACTGCGGTAACTGATATGATGTGAAAGTGGATTTGTTTGTGGTTTTGCAACACTGACCACCACTGGCTACCCATGGTCACCCAAATCAAATCCAAGTCAGTACTGCTTGCCTACAGAGTGACTTCTGGATCTGCACCCATCTACTTGATACCAATCACACAGGCTTATGCTCTGTCTCGGCCACTGGCATTGCCATCCCTACACACAAGACAATCTCAGTCCAGACTGTTCTTGTCTGTGGATCCCTGATGGTGGAACAAGCAACTGAATGCTCTTGAAGACTCAATTCTTCCCGAGAGCACCTCCTCTCCTAACACCTCTAACACCCTGACATGCCTAACTAGCACTTACTATGCACTTTCAGTGCATCTCTTTACCTGATCTCCTTGCACTTTACCTGATTGAACATATTTAGTTCTTAGTGCTTACTTCAAGTTCCCCAACTGCACTGAAGCTAAAGTAAGTAAGTTGCTTTGGATAAAAGCGCCTGCCAAACCAGTCCATGTAAATATACTTGAGCGAGAACTACGATGTAGCTCAGTAGGAAGGAAACCCAGTGAGATTTTGATATTAAAATACAAGATGTCAAAGGTTTTGTACATTTTTGGCATTAAATTCTCTAAAGACAAACATTATGACGTGAAGAATTAACTAACAAGGTGAAAAAATGTTTTCCCGACATTGAGGGCAGTGAGTCAATCTTATTTGTGTAACTTTTAATCACTGTTACGGTCTCAAAGGGCTTCAGATAATTTAACACAACAAATGAAAAATGAAACCCTCCGAACTTCAAACCCTTGTTGAGAACAAGGTTTGGGATCATGTTGCAATCGAGATGGTAACCTGATTTCTGGATAGCCTGCTCTGCCTGACTGAGCAGTATGAAGCAAGAGGGGATCATTTGTGGAGCTGCTGTCATTAAAAGAAGGAGTGGGTTATCTGAGATGTCCTGCTGGGATTGACCCATCGCCACACCCCCATGGACCCCTCTGCTGGGGTCTGGTGATGTGTATATATGTGTGTGTTTTAGGTTAGTTTGAGGGGGGCTTGTCCAGACTTACTCAATCAGCCCAGTCACTGCTGGCCACTGTGCCCCCCTATAGTGGGAATGAGCTATGGGCTGACCCC